AAAAAAAAAAAAACAAAAACAAAACAAAAAACAAAAAAAAAAAGTTTGTATTAACTATAAATAGTATGAATTTCCCTTTAAAAATTCATACTATAAATAGTATGAATTTCCCTTTAAACCTTGTTTTTTTTTTTTTTGGTCTATTTTAGTTGTTAAGTTTTCCATTTAATGAAACTTTATTATTTTTTATTTTAATGTGATATAAATAATTAATGTAATTTTTTTATTAAACTTAAAAAAGCATTTATTTTATTTTATCTTATTATATTTTTATTTAATTTTATAAATGTGGTATCAATGATTTGAGATATACATTCTAAAAGTTTACAACCAATTATTCAATTTATACCATATCTATAATTTTATTTGAAATGGCAAATAATTAAATGATTAGAGTTATAGATTAATCACACCAATAATAGTTGTTTGTAAGTTAGGACAAAAATATATAAAATTTAAAATATATTCCGAAACACTCAAAGAGGAAATTCATAATTATGATTTTTTTTTCTAACTTATTTCCATATTGTTAATTTTTTTTTTCCATTTTCATTATTAAGTATTAGTGTCATTTCATTTTAAAACTTAATAATAAATAAAATTGCAAATTTGGTCCCGTTACGCAATTTTATTCCCAAAAAGTGTAATTTCAGTCCTTAACTAATTTTTGTTGCGCAATTGGTCCTAAATCTAACAGAGTTGACGGAAATGTCACGCGTAGTCACGTGGGCGTTTGGTCACGGAAATGTCACGCGGAGGTCACGTGGGCTTTTGGTCGTTATGTTTGCCAGATTTAAATCTGTCGATTTGTATTCCCAACACATTAGGTGTCAAATGACATTCATTCCTCTCAATCCCCATTCTCAAAAATTAGGTTAAGTATTCAATCCATAAATCAAAATTAATATCTAAAATCTACTCCAAGTTAAAAAATGTTGTGAATACCCTACGGTATTGAGTTGAAAATCCGATGCTCCGCTCAAGTGAAGTTGTCGAAAATCCAAATCTGATCTACGGTATTTATCCTTAAACCCTAGCGCTTTATTTTAATTTTTTAGATTGTATATTGTTTTGTAATATGTTATTTGTTCGAATTTAGTTTGTATTGTATCTTTGTGTGATGCGTTCCTTTTTTCTAATTTTTTTATGGTAATTAGGGTGATGTGTTCGAATTTTGTCGAGTATGTGGTAATTTTGTTCGAATTTAGATAATAGGGCTTTGTCGGGTATGTGGTCCTCCATGTTGGGTAATTAAGGTTTATGTTGTTGTTGTAAGTTTTGTGATAAAAGTTAGGGCTTTGTCAGGTATGTGGTCCTCCATGCCGGGTAATTAGGGTTTTTCTGAATTTTTTAAAATTAGGGATTTTGTCAGGTATGTGGTCCTCCATGTTGGGTGATTAGAGCTTTTTATGAATTTTTTTAAAATTAGTGCTCGATGTATATTCATTCACTTGTTTGTCCAAAAAAACTTGATGTTTAAAAATTAAGGCTTTTCTCTTTTGTTTATTCACACTTTGTCTTTTGTTGAATATAACTAATTTTTTTTCCTTTTATTTTTTAGTATATATGACCAATTGTTCCATGTTATGCAAATGCACGTGGCATAAAGCCATTTTACCTTACTTTCAAAATACATCATGATGGAATTTTGGCTGATGGTATAATTGAAGGGAAGCAGAGGTATGTTGGGGGTGAGATAAGTGCATTTTATTATGTGGACAAGTACAAAGTAAATATGAGAGATGTCTATAGGTTATGTGAAGATTTAGGCTACTGTGGGTGAAAAAAAATTTATAGACTTGACTTGCCCCATCAATACAAGAGATGTTTATGGAGACTGATCTTTTTTTGGCTGTTGATAAGCATCATAAAAGAGAAGTGAAATTGTATTGAGTGGCTGAAAAGAAAAAAATGGAATTGGAGAAGGATGACAATGGGGATGATGGTGTGATTATGAATGAGTTTGATAGGTGTTCAAAAGATGGTCATGAGGCAGGCAGGTGAGGGTGTTAATGAGGCAGATGAGGGTGTTAATGAGACATGTGAGGGTTATGAAGCCTCATCTGAAGATGATTATTTTTCCACAGTGGATGTTGATAGTGGCTCTGATGATGATGTTATATTTGAAGAATATGTTGATTTGGATGTCGATGAAAATGTTGAAGGCAAAAAAGAAGGGGTAAGTAGAGAAGAGGTAGATAGTGGTTCTGATGATGTTGTGCTTGAAAGATATATTCATATGTGTGTAGATGAGAAGGATCTTGTGGAGAAACATGTTAAAGACAAAAAAAAAAAAAAAAAGGGAACAATTAAACTTGTTCGCTGACAGTAGTATGTATGTGTCTGAAGATAGTAGTGACGATAATTTTTCTAGTTTGAAGGGTTCAGATGAAGATGAAGAGGATAATAAGAGTCTTGTTTTTAAGGGTGAGGACGTTTTCAATCCTCAATTTGCAATTGGAATGAATTTTACATCCAAGAGTTTGTTCAAGGAAGCAATTTTCTTCACATGTCATCCAAACTCATAGAAGCCTCATAATCACTAAGAATGTTAAGAGGAAAATCTATACCAGGTGTGAAGAAGAGCTAAATGATTGTCAGTGGGCCATAAATGCACTTAAAGTGTGTAATGAAAAGGCCTACCAAATTAAAGCCTACAATCACAGACACTCTTGTGCACGGACATGGAAAGTACAAAATGCCACAACTAGATGGATTGCAGAGAGGTATGTAAAAGACTTAAGATCTTATCCAAAGAGATCACTTAAAGGATTCAAAATAGATGCAGTGCAAAGGCTGAAGTGTCATGTGTCCAAAGACAAAGCTTTCAGAGTCAAACACTTGGCTTTGAAATCAATTGAAGGATCACATTCTGACCAATATGCAAAGACGTGGGTTTATGCATATGCTCTGAGGCAGAAAATCCAGGCAGCACAATTTTATTGTCACTAACAGATGCTCCAGGACCTGATGGACAGAAAAAATTTGACAAGCTCTATATTTCTTTGTCCCCAAAACATGGTTTTCTTGTTGGTTGTAGAAAATTAGTGGGAGTTGATGGTTGCCACTTAAAAGCTAAGCATGGAGGCATTATTCTCACAGTTGTAGAGGTGGATCCATCAAATAATCCATACCCTACAACATATGTAGTTGTGGGTGGTGAAACCAAAGAGACATGGACTTTGTTTCTTAAAAATCTAAAGGAAGATTTGATGATTCAGAATGATGATGAATGGACTTTCATGTATGACAAGCAAAAGGGTCTGATTCAAGCATTTGAAGATGTGCTTCCTGGTGCTCAGAATAGATTTTATGTGAGGCAGTTACATGCCAATATGCAAACAACTGGTTTCAGAGGTCTAGCCTTCAAAAGGGATTTATGGAAAACAGCCAAAGCCACCACTCTTTTAGAATTCAAAGAGTCAATGAACATGATTGGTGAACTTGACAATGAGTGCAGAGTTTGGCTTGAGGATAAACCTGCAAAACAATGGTCAAAGTCTCACTTCAAAACAACTCATAAGTCAGACCTATTATTGAACAACATATGTGAGGTTTTCAACAACTTCATCCTAGAGGCTAGAGATAAGCCAATCTTGACTATGTTGGAATGGGTGAGACAGTACCTGATGACTAAGCTCCAAGAGAACAAGGATATGGCCGAGAGAAAGTGGGAAGGGATGAAAATCTGCCCCAAGATAAAGAAACTTGTAGACATACATGAAGAAAAAGTCTCTGAATGCATCCCAATCAAATCCAATGTCTGGTTGTACCAACTAGACTGCAATGATGGTGCTTCTCATACTGTGAACCTGAAGTAAAGAAGTTGTAGTTGTTGAAAGTGGGACTTGACAGGAATACCATGCAAACATGCATACAGTACCTTATTAGCACAAGGGCATCAACTCGAGGACTTTGTGGATGCATCTCCGCCTCGGAGACCGTCGTGGCCTAAGGCATCACGCTGACCATTTTGTTGCCATCTGCGACCGTCTTCAACCCCATCAGCCCTTCGCCGGAATTCAGGGTCACCAAATTGAGGATATTTACCGTCAAGGTCTACTGGTGTAATTCTCGCATGCCTGTAGACCGAATTATCGCGGGTCAGAAACCGCTCCTGTGGGCGATGCAGACCGTCAAAATTTAGGTCCCGAAATCCGACATCTGGTTGCCGGCGGTTATGAACATCAGCACCCCGCTCGCAGTCAACTCTCTCGGCAAATGGATTGTCGTCCGACCAGGTATCTTCACTATCAACTTCATCTAACAGAGACGGTTGTAACGGTTGACGGGGCGCCCCGCCAAACCCACCCCTGCCCCGGCCACCTGATCCACGACCGCAACCACCTCTGCCACTGGCGAAGTCGCGATTCTCTTGATGATCCCATACCATGGTAGCAAGTGTGAGACGAATATCTTCAATTTCGATAGAAAGGTCCGTAACCTGAGTATCCAACAATTGCATCCGATTATCCATACTTTGAAGACGATCGTCAATTTCGGCATCTCGCCGTTTCGGCGGCATCGAGAATCGTCTCAAATCTGATACCAAATGATGTAGCAGAAAGCATGAGAGGGAATGAGATTTACAGAGAACACACAAAGAACTCGTTCTTTCTTTCTGAGACAATTTCACAAATCTGATAACTGCCCTTCACAACGTTTCTACAGTTATTTATAATATCTATCCTAAACACTTAGATTTAAAACCCATAATATTACAAAACCAACACACTAACATAAATAAATAACCACAAGCCCAACACACAACATAACTAAATGCACACAAATACTAAAATAAATATAATAATAATAATAATAATAATAATAATAATAATAATAATAATAATAATAATAATAATAATAATAATAATAATAATAACAATAATCACACTAAAGCTCGGAGCCAATCATATTTATCGAGATATGCTAATGCATCACTTACACTAAAGATCGGAGCCGATCATATTTATCGAGATATGCTTATGGTTTTCAATTTTTTTCTGTGTTTCGCTATTTTGAATACATTTATGATGGCAATCTTTGATTTAAACAAGCAAGGAGCCAAAACCCCAAGAGATTATTATACGACATTAATTTTCCCCTCAACAAATAAGTGCTTGGGCCAAAACACTAGAGGAGCTACTCCTTCAAGTAATCAAATCTAAGTCTTGTGTTGCAAATTGTGCACCTTTTGAACTCAACTTTTTGAAATGATAGTTAGTCCCCTGATTGCGAAGAGTTTTTTGTAAAGGAGTGTTTTGTGAACATGCTTATATTATGTGAACTCAAATATCTGTCTTGTTTTGGGAACTCTGAATTATATTATGTGATGGGTATTTTATGACTGAAGGTTTTTGTGACTGAAAGTGTATTTTCATGATGACTGGTGCTTAATTGAAAGTGAATTGAAGTTCTGTGTTTACATGGAGGTTTCATGCTTAAAGTTCTGTGTTTGCAATTGAAGTTCCGTATTTACATTGAGTTTTCATGCTTGAAGTTCTGTGTTCTAATTTATGCAATTGAGGTTCATGATGATTGTTTATACAATTGAGGTTATGTGTTCTATTTTAGCATACATGTATGAAATCGAAGTTCTGTGTTGTGTTTGTTTCATGTCAAATTGAGTGTGGATTTGTTTCATGGCAAATTAGCAACAAAATAGTCTAATTTTCATTGAGATTAGCAGTAATACATCATAACACCAATATATAAGATATGTTGGATACTTGGATACATATTATGTTTATTTCATGATAAACATCCACACCATTGAGATTACAAGTAAAAGCAGTAAAAATCTATTCTTCTTCAGTTGTGCATTTTTTTTCTAGATTCTTCATCTTTTTCTTGTACATCTCCTTCTCTTGAAGTTCAGTTGCAAATTCGACATTTTGGCAATTTGTTTCAGCTCCTAACCGGTTTATTTAACACAACTAACAGAGGATTATTTCTTTTGATCTTGTACACATCGGAGAGTCAAACCAATTCCAAAAGACAACCATTTTGACCACAATCCAAGTACCTCATTCTTGGGTTGGCAGGGGTCCATGCAATTTGTAGACGAGCAATTGTACCGAAAAACAAAAAACATCGGCTTCTCTTCTTGAAGAATTTGAAGAACTCTTTGTTTCCTAATTTTCTCAAGACGAATTGAAAATCTGAAGAAGAATGAGGCATTTGTGCCATTTTGTGGTTGTTGTCATGTTTCTGCTACAATTTCCCGCCATTTCAAATGATATGCTCCCTCCATTTTTGGTTGTCAACGGTGACTTCATGGTTTGTTAGATTTAGGACAAATTGCGCAACAAAAATTAGTTAAGGACTGAATTGCACCTCTAGGGACTAAAATTGCGACCGTCCCAATCTAACGGGACAAAATTTGTAATTTTTTCCTTAATAATATATTTATTTCTTATCCATTTTTTATATATATTTTTAAATTAACCTTTAATATAATAAATGAATTAGTAAATTTTCATTTTTGTAAATTTAATTATGGTTGGGCTCCTCCTTTCTTTAATCTACAAGAGATCAAATTCGAACGAATTATTGTGCAAGTGATTGAATTCATTTCGCTCAATTCAATCTACGCATAAATCACGCTATGTAGGATTTGAACCTAGGTTTTGGAGACCCGCGTTCTACCGAAGCGCTTTCTTATCTGAATAGAAAAGACTATAAAAAGATTCTTTTTCAAACCTTAATCCACTTCAATCCAAATGTTGGTGCTCGTTATAGACTATTGGCCACTTCAACACGCGGGTAGGCATAAAAGGATTTCACGTGCGTAAGGTGTGAAGCCCTTTGATCTTTTCAATATTTTCTACAATTTCTTAATTTTACATAACTCATTTAGGAATCAAAACTAGTGTACACCCCGTGTGATGTACGGGAACAATATTAAATTAACAATATTATAAATAAATCTCAAGTTTGAGTCACTCAATGGCGGAAGTGGAAATTACTATTAATCCTATTTAAAAAAAAAAAGAAGAAAAAAATAATAATTATAAATTAAAGAGGAGAATAAACAATACTTAATAATTATAAATTAAAGATTCGGGGTCAAACAATGTAAATCTATTTTGTATAATAGAATATAAAATTTACATTATTTTGTATAAGAGAATATAAAATTTGTATGTTTAATATTAAGAACACCTAATATATTATATTAGTATATGTAATAGTATTCAAATTTTTCTATATTATTTTTGAAAGATGGCCTGCCACGGCTGTGCACGCGGGCGCTGCCTGGCCTGACCACTGGCGCTGACTGACTGGCTGGCTAGCCGTGCGGACTGCAGCTGGGCGGTCCCTGGCACAGTTGTGCGCGCTATGGCGTGCGAGCGTGCCACTGGGCATGATTGGCACGTCCTGCGGCAACTGGGCGCGCACTGGTGACTGACTGGACGCGTGCGTGCGCCTGGCGCAATGCAGCGTCAGCCTGGGCGCTACCGCGATATGTTTTTTAGAAGAAAAACATATCTAAAAACATTTGAATTTAACATTGTGTAAAAAAAAATTCTAGACTATTTTGTAAATAAAACATGTCTACATATATTTAAATTTAACATCAATTATGTGTATGTGTATATGTATATATATATATATAGACGAATATGTAAAAAAATGTCTAAACAATTTGTTTTAAGTATCTAAAATATTATAAGTCTAAGTTAATAAAATCATACCGAATTTATGGTGTTCCATCTAAAAATATTTGATTACACACAATTTGAAAATTATTAGTTTTGATACCAAAAATAATTACAAGTATTTATTTTAATACCAAAAAAAGGAAAGAGAATAACAAATTCTACCCAATAAATCAACCGATTTGTTACCCTATCTACCCAATAAATCAGTAGTTGACTATCCTATCTACCAAAAAAACAGAAAAGATAATTGCTAATTTTTAGGACACTGTTAATCAGCCGATTTGTTACCCTATCTACCCAATAAATCAGCAGTTGACTATCCTATTTACCAAAAAAACAGAAAAGATAATTGCTAATTTTTATGACACTGTTAATGAAATTAGCGGGTAATTATATATACATATATTGGCGAGAAAAATAGCAGTTGACTATCCTATCTACCAAAAAAACAGAAAAGATAATTACTAATTTTCATGACACTGTTAATGAAATTGGCAGGTAATTATATATACATATATTGGCGAGAAAAATTGGCGGCAAATCTATTCTTTTAATATATAGATAGATAATATAATGTGATAAGGAATGAGTTAAGAGAGAGAATTTTTGTGGATATTACTTATTAATTATGTTTGAACATGATAGATTTTCATGTTCCTTAATTATAAATAAAAACTCAAAAATGACATCTATATTAAAGCAGGTGAAATATACGTATAAATATTAAATAATATGTCAAACTATTATACATCATAATAATTAGAAAAAAAAAAAA